TCAACTTTAGTATCAAAAAAAAAGAATTAGCTCTTTGGAGATTCAACAAAGACTGCTTCAAAAATGAAAAACTTAGAAATAAGATATTTGATGAAATTATTGAGCTAGAAGACTTAGAGAACTGGGACTTCTGCAAAGTCTATATATAATCAATAATAAGAGCTTTCAAAAAACCAAAAGCAGCAGAAAGCAAAATCATAAAATTAAACAAAGAAATTATTCAAATTAGAAAAAGACTTATTCATAATCTAGAAAATATCTTTTTACATACCCAAGCTGACAAACTAGGTCTTGATCTCCAAGAAGAACTAACCAATCTTGCAGAAAAATGGCAAATTCACTCTAAAGCTCGCTGAATTGAACAAGGTGAAAAATCTACAAATACTTCTTTGCCAGATATAAAATAAAAAAAACCCACTCAGCTCTTAAAGACATTAAGGACCCTGAAGCCTCTTTACAAACTAAAGAGAATACTCTTCACTATATCAGAAACAAATACGCTGAAATTTATAAAAAAGAAGACTTCAGCTTGTCTTTAGCAAAAAAAATTACAGAAAATTTGCTTCAAGTCTCTCTACTACATAATTAAGAGCTAACACATGAAATTTCTCAAGATGAAATCAGCAACGTTATTAGAAATCTTCCTAACAACAAAGCTCTTAGAACTGATGTTTTAACTTATGAGTTCTACAAACTTACAGAAGAAGTCATAATTCCAATTCTCTATGGAGTCTTTAATCATACTCTATTATCAGGTGTAATGCCACCCTCTTGGTGCAAAAGTTTAATTACTTTAATACTGAAAAAAGCTTCAAACTTAGAAGATATTAATAATTAGAAGCCTATATCACTAGTTAATAATGATGCTAAAATCTTTATGAAAATTATTGCTAATCACCTCAACTCTATCTGTGAGGTACTTGTACCACATCATCAACAAGGTTTTATTAAGAATAGATCTATCACAGATGCTGCTTTAGATATAATCACAACAATGAGAAATCAGGCAGATCCCTCTAAACAACACTAGTTGCTTTTTATCAACCAACAAAAAGCTTTTGATCGAGTTAATTATAACTTTCTAGAACTCACCTTAAAGAGTATGAATTTTGATACTAAGTTTACTAATCTCGTTTAAAACCTCTTTTCTAATCAAGAAGCTTATATTATCGAAGCAGGTGATATCTCTAAACCTTTTAGGATTAAGAGAGGTGTCAAACAAGAAGATTCTCTTTTACTATTATTATATATATTAGCCTTTGAGTCCCTCATAAGAACTTTAGAAAATCATCTACATGGTATTGAATTAGGAAACCAACTTTTCAAATCTTCAGCCTATACTGATAACTTAACTATAGGAATTAGTTCCTTAACAGATTGGAATAAGATTCAATCCTCTCTAAACTTTTATAAAGCAGCCTCTAATGCTAAAATCAACAAGACAAAAATTAAGCTAGTTCCTCTCACTCCTACTGCTCAAAGAGTAGAACTCACTAATGAAGAACAATTTGTTAAATTAGAAGAACAAGATTCTGTTATGATTCTAGGATACAATATTCTCATTAATGGCTAGCTAAAAAAAAACTTATGGCCTACAACACTTAATAAGTTAAAAAATTCTCTTGACAAACTAACAAACAGAAATTTCTCTTTTAAAGGAAAAATCCTAATAGCTAAATCACTTATTCTATCTAAGATTTGGTACTCTGCTTATCTTCTACCTCTTAACAGAAAACAGGTCACTGATATCAACAGAATTATCTCTCTGTGGGTTAATGGTACTTCACATATGCTCTCTAGATACTCTACCTTTCAACATTCTACTGAACTTGCAAGACTTCAAGCTCCAGTTATCAAGAATATGTTAGATGCTCATCTAATCTCCATTTAGATTAAGCTTCTTACTTCAGATTCTATGTGAGCAAGCTATGAAAGAAACAAAGTTAGCTCAACTCTCAGAGCTAAAAAAAACATCTCTTCGCTACAAGCTTTAAGTACTAATAATATACATACTAAAGCCTGGCCTACAGAATGGAAATCCTATTTAACTACCTGGACAAGAATAAAAAGAAGAATTTCTTCTACCTCTAACTGGCCTTGGAACAAAGAAGAAATCTCTGCAGGAGATTTTAAAGAAAACGAGCTCTCTGTTAAAAAATCATTAGAGCTCCTTAAAAATTCAACTTCTTTATCTATTCCATCTCAAGCTTCTTCTCAAACTACGCAAGCTGCCTGGCTAACTCTAAAATTAGTATATAATAAGAAAAAAAATATCTTCTAGTATCTCTTTCATAGAGCACTCCTATTAGGCTATTGACTCAAACATATAGGATCAATAGAAACAGGAAATTGCCCTTGGTGTTCTGATGAATTACAAACTATCGAACATTTTGCTATTGAATGCCTGAGAAGTAAAATTATTTGGGAAGAAACTTATAAATTTCTGAATATTAACAAGAGAAAAATCCCACCTACTACAATGAAAGAAATCTTCAAGCCATCTAGTTCTAATTATCCTCAAACTTTAATAGCTATATCTTGGCTACATATCAATACAATTTATAAAATCTGGTATTGCTATACTTCATTAAAATAGGGAGACTCAGATACTATACTTAATTCTATTAGTCCCTTAATCAAAAATCGTATCTCTAAAGAAATACGCTTTTTAAAGTCTAATTTGTCTTATGACAAATTTAAAACTACGAAATCTCTTTGTAAATATTTAAAATGTATATAGATTATTTATAGTTCCTTAATAAAAGAGCATCACCTGTACCTCTAGTTGCTTAAGCAACAAGAGATATAAAAAAAAAAAAGTTTGTTAAATCAAGGGGAAATTTATTTGTTTTTAAATATTCTCAAAGATTTTGGTAGTAGTCTAGATTCATTTTTTTAGATTAGAGAGAAATATATCTGAATCTCTAATCTAGAAAGTGTATTAATATTTGAATGTTTTTGTTCAGGTTTATTTTTTTTTTTTATTTTATACAAATGCTATTAGCTAACTTTTATTAATTTCATAAATTTCAGAAGTGATACATATTATAAGATATAACTAGCCATATACAATTTTAGATTGTCTATTTTAAGTAGTCTGCTCAAAGGTTCTACACTAGCTACTATATCTGAAATCTCTTAGAAGATTTTCTATTTAAACACTCTAATCCTATCTCACTTACTGCAAATATTACTCTTCTAGTTAACTCTAACCTTGTGCTACTCTACTTTAGGAGGCATCCAAGCTGATATTAGTTACAAACTTTACTATTATAGGTCTAGATCTTATCTGAATAAGTCCTACTTCAATGCTCTCTAATAGATAGATATCATAATACCTAACTATGCTATGCTATATTCCTATTCTAACTTGCATATATCCTTATTTGATATTTATACAAACTCAGTTCCAGCTATAGCTCTCTACCAGTTTAGACTTCTGTATTCTTCTGAATATTTTATGAGACAGATTCTTCTAATTTAGTTAGCTACTAAGCCAAGTTAGTATTGCTATAACACCTAATATTACAGACTTACTTATATCTACTCAATCTATATCTTCATACTTAGAAATCTTTACTAGATCAAGTGTTAACTAGTGTGACTATTAAAATCTATACTACTTTATTTAACTCAGGATTTCTACTATGCAGATCCTCTGCTCGTAGATTCTATCTCAATTTATTCATATAACATAACTCTAATATTCTATCATATTTCTAATATCCGAACAATATTGGTGCAATGTGATTTATAGGATTACAATCCCTATAAACAAATAAAGTTTACTGTAAGTTAAATACAAGATTTGAGAAATTATTCAAAGTATCGACAGAAGGATTTGAATCCCAAATCTATTGTATGGTAGTTTGATAACCTATCTACTATACTAGATCACCAGACCTCTCATTCAGATTTATAAATTACAATAAAGCAATAAGATTACAATTTTATTATCTATCTATCTAATCATCTTTTAGGTTAGAAGGATTTTAGCTATTGGAAAGCTAAATGGTTAGTAACTAAAGTAAAATAGTTGGTTCTAAAATATTTATAAAAAAGTTCTATTGCCTATACTATGATAGCATATTCTAATTCTGTTGTTTTATAGTTAACTTCTTTTTTCTTGAGACTTTTTTTTTTTTTTTTTTTGAATTTGGCAGTCAGGCCACAACTTTATTAAAATTTTTGTAATACAAAAACTAACAAAGGACTAAAAATTATGTTCTATACATGCAGTGTTTTCTGTTTTCTAAAGTGTAGCTTCCCTGGTTTCTATACAGACCTGTGAACGACCTGCTATAATGAGTATTCTTCTCCCTTTACTATCTCACACATTCCAATGCTTTAATAGAACACGACCAGAGCAGCCACTGATTTTTCAGGTCAGATGATCAACTCTCTGCTGCAGCTGCAGGAAGGATCTTAGGCCGACCAATGAGAAAGCCTGAACATAAAGATCTTTGATCAATGATCAAGATAATATCAATTTCTTTTTTATTTCGGTCAATAAACTTTAAACGTTAACGTTAAGAATTGTAAAATAATCTCTTTTTATATCAGTCAATAAACTTTAAACATTAAGGATTGTAAAATGATATCTTTTTTATATCAGTCAATAAACTTTAAACATTAAGGATTGTAAAATAATCTCTTTTTATATTGGTCAATAAACTTTAAATGTTAAGGATTGTAAAATGATTTCTTTTTTATATTGGTCAATAAACTTTAAACATTAAGGATTGTAAAATAATCTTTTTAATTTATTAGTAATGATCTTAACTTATTAAAGCTTTAAAATATATTAAAATACAGGAATAAAATTACAAGAATAAAAAAATAAGATTTTGTAGAGACTAACAGATGATACGATACTAATTAATAACTTCCACATTGCTTTGGTCAATAAATATGTTTTCTACTGAGATCAGTTCGTCATAGCTATTTACTTTATCTGAGAATGATAGATACATTAGGTATAGTTTTCTATTCTCTAGTACTCATGTTTTTTGTCGATGCCTTTTTTGTTCTACTACTTGTACTTCTTTCTCTATTTCCAATAATTTACTACACTCCATAACTGCACGAACATAATTCTAGTTATTAGCTAACTTTTCTATGCAGGCACATTTAAATGCATGTTCAAATAAAGGCTAGTTTGATTCACCAAAGATGCGAGCATCCTCTTCAGGAATTTCATGAGGTGTATTATCAAAATCATGAGTTTTGATCAGTATTGTAGGTGATATGGGCAAGGTGTTAACTATAGTTTCAGACCCTTTTATCTTAAGAAATGGTGGTATTGTGTAATGTTCAAAGTCACTTCTAATCAACCATTGATGATCTCCATTAGGTAGATTTACAATTTTCTAGACTAAGTATTTACATAGCAGAAAACAGCTACTAAGAAAGGCAGGGCAACTACAGACCTAATGGATGCTATCTGTAAAGTGTAATATAGCAGGTTCTGTTATTCTTATATTAATATTTCGCTTTCTCTTGAGCTTATTCTTGTTACACATCTCTGCTCTTTTTTTCTCACTTGCGTTAGCATAGTTCCACTCCCTTTTAAAATCACTCCACCACTACGGCTCTACTATACCACTCAAAAGCTGAGAGAACCGATCTTTTTAAGCTGGAACTACTTCATTAAAGAGTGTCCAAAGAAGTAAATCTAATCTAGGTCTATTAAAGCGGTGTAAATAATGCTGCTTTATAACACTCCAATGAGCTTCAATCTTCATTGTTGTTTTGCTTAAAGGTATAGTTTGTTTAGTTAATTGTGCCCACAAATGCCATCATCGTGAAGAGTACCAATTTGTCCACAGGTAAGCCCACAAGAGCTGCAATGCATTTGTAGCACAAAATTGATACATCTTATTTATTACACTTCACCTAATATTTTCAGGTGTTAAAATATTTTCCTAGTTGTTGATTGGTATAAATGGATGTAGATTGAAATGTTTTTGTACAAAGTTTAAAATTGTCTCATGGTGCATCTGTAGGCATATAACATACGTATGTATATTCTGATCTTCTTCAGTTGGATAGAAAGTTAGGTCGATAAAATTAAATTCTTCAGATGCTTTATTAGTATTATAATTTATAATTAACAATTCTGTACGATTTGATCACTTGGCCTTCTCCTTAAGTTTAAATTTCAGAGCTTGGTTAATATGCCAAACACATAATTGTATGACTGATGATCCCCATATCTTATATTACAAATCGAAAGTTAAAAAAATTAGTTAGTTAATTAGTTGACAACTAATAGATTGAACTTTTAGATACTAACTAATCAATTAATCGATTAATCAACTAATCAATTAATTGCAACTAATTGATAAATTGATTAATTAACTATTCAATTAGTTGCAACTAATCGATTAAAGAACTAATTACTAATCGATTTAAAAATTAATTTGATTAATTTAATTATTCGCAACTAATTGATTAATCGATTAGTTGCAACTATTTGTTAACAAAAAAAATAATTATCAATTGAAAAATTTTGATGATTTGTATTACTACTCTTACCTCTGTTGTAGCATTAATTTCTGCAAAATCTTTGTCCGTAAATACGAACTGTGAGTTAATATTATATGCTTTTACTGCCTCGAAAAATTTTTTTAAGATTTTACTACGCTTATCTATATTTGATTCAATTTTTCTTGTTATATCTAATACAAGATAAGCTATTGGAAATTCAGTTCTGTCTACATCTGCTATTATGCAATACAACTCATAACGCCCTCTTGCAGTTCTATATGTTATATCTACATAAATTTCACTAATATTAATATTGTGATTACTAATTTCATTTAATAGAGAGGTAGTAAATGCAATTGCAGTAGACTTTAATTTGGTATATCAAGACACCGATGGTAGCTCTGGTTATAATGCTTATCAAGTAGCATATGTGCAGACTATACATAATTATCATGGCATTGAAAAAGGCTTTTACCCACTATGGATTTCCAAAAATAGATTCGTTTTGGAGAATATTTAGAAATATCAAACTCTCAGTGCTTTAAGTGATTTATAAGTTGTACAGAAGTAAGATGAGTATTTACTTCAATTTCCTCTCGTAATTTAATAGGCATTTCAGAACAAAGATCTGAATGCAGATGAAGAATCTCATGGTAAATGTCTACTACTGAGATATCAAGATCTATATCAATTTTCACTATGATTTTTCCTTTGCAATCATAGCGTGTTCTCCTTTTTCGATTTGAATCTTTATATATTCTCTGCACTTCATATGATTAACAGTATATATAATCAAACCTACTAACCTTGTCACCAAATTTTTTGGATATTTCAGAGCGATGAAAACTACAATTAAAAATATTTTATGAGTCAGTTGAGTAATGTAAACAGAAAAATTAACTTTATATAGCTTTATATATATTATATACTTACTTCCATGAATAATCATCACCACCTTCTATTTCAATGACAATAAGAGCAGCAACATCTTTGGATATCATGTCTGAAGTTATATCTACATTTACAAGCAAATATGCCTGATATACTGCATTGATGATGTCGAACTCATTAAATATTATCTCTTTGATCTCATACTCAATATAGTCCTCCATATCAAGGCAATCGATCTCAACATGTGCAATATCATTAATATCTGCCTTCTGAATAGTGTCATGGGCAATAGTTTTAGGCTGTTTGGCTGATTCAATAGTTAAATTTATAAACGCAGCTAATAATTTTTTTTTTCTTTGCGTTTTTCACAAGTTTTATGTCGAGTACCTTTCCAAATGAATTTATTTTCAGAATAATTACTTTTACAATTTGAACAGTATATGTTTCGTGAATAAAGATTAAGAGTTTACAATACTAGGAGATTATATTCAGGTATGAGATTTTGGTATAGTCATCTTTTTAGAAAATTTCTCTTTCATCGTGAACTATACTTTATATTTATTTGAAAACTAATATGTTTATCATTAAGCAATCGAGGTTACTAAGACAAAGAAAACAATATTGATAAGGGAAAACCAATTGTTGAGAAAGCCAGAAATATGATAACGAAAGAACAATTATATACTTAGTCTTAAGAATTGATGTTTGTGATATTTGTCTCAATTGTTGATATATATTACTAATTATCGTACAAATTTTATTGAACTAATTTATTTTAAGAAATTTTGCACAATTACGAATTTATTACATAAATAGTCAAATCAGTAAAATAAATTAAATCGCTGCATAACAATTGTAAATTTTGATATATTAATCATATAATACATAGTTTATTTAATAAACTTAAATTAGTAAATCGAGTTTTGATCCTATTCTACATGATTCATATCCTCTAGCTTTCAAAACAGCTACTAAGTTGATTTTGATCAAGCTAATTTAAATAGTTTGCATCATAATAATTAGAAATGAATTACACGATCATTTTATGTTATATGCATACTAATCTTATTTAGAAAATAATCTACTATTTACATTACAAAAGACTCATATAACAAACGTAATGAGCTTCATATAAAATACTTGCATAACAAACATGATAGGTTTTACAAAAAAAACTTGTATAACAAACGCTATAGGCTTCACAAAAGACTTGCATAACAAACATGATAAGCTTTACAGAAGACTCACTAACAAACGTAATAAACTTTATAAAATAATTGCGCAATTTTTTATTATTATAATAAACTATTACTTGTATTTTGATTAATTTCTTGACTAGATACTTTATCTGTAATATTTTGAAAAGATTTTATTAGTTGCATTTCGTAAAGAGATGAACTTGTCTATTAGAACTATGTTGAGTTCTGAAAAGCCATCATTCAAATTTGGTATGAATAGCAATTTGAATATCCTTACAAGGTAATGCTTGCCTATATATACATTTTTAGCCTTTGAATCTTTATAAAGTTACCTGGTTTTAAATCTAACATACAGACATTTTTTTAGTTTTATATTGGTATAAAAAATCTTTAATAAAACAAACTTGAGTTTTATGGTTATGTTTATCTGATTAACAATTCAATTCTTCACCAACTCTAACTTTAAGGCATTAAGAACTTAATATTTAGATTTTCATGTTTACTTGATAGGTTTTGTAAAACGACTATTATTTTTTTTTGATTATTTATATATAATGTTCAATAATTTTTTTCAAAGGTTTGAAGTAAAAGAAACGAACTAAGTGAAGTATTCAAAACCTATATTGTAAAGAAAAGATTGAAATATATATATATTTTTTTAAAAAAAGATTCAATATTTAAATATGTAAAGTAAAGATCATGAAATAAAAAATAAAAATGATATTGAACTGTGGCTGTGGCATTTGATCATCTGATCTGGAAAATCAGTAGCCGTCCTGGTCATGTTCTTTGATAGTAAAGATCAATGGTGTAGAACTCACAGCCCGTTCTGACTGCAATAGCAAGTTCCTAATTATTACTACTAAAAGTCTACTTTAAAGAAACAATAAAGAGAAACCTAACTATAACAATAAGAACTAAAAATAAAAATTGCACAGAT